ATATACCTAAAAACACTACATATGAGAGACAAAATTATCTCGTTCAATTGTGAGCCCACTTAACTTATACAGAATACTTAAAAGAACCACATATGAAAAAAAAGTTATCCTGATCAATTGTTAGTAAGCTTATCTTCTATCTTCTAATACCTAAAAGCACTATATGTGAGAGAGAAAATTCTCCCGCTCAAATTTTGTGTTCAATTGTTAGCAAACTTGTCTTATACTTAAAAGAACTACATATATGAGAGAGAAAACCCCGCTCAATTGTAAGCAATATTATCTTCTAATATCTAAAATCACTACAAATGAGACAGAAAAACTTTCGCTCAATCATTAGCAAGTTTATCTTCTTATATCTAAAAGACTACATGTTAGAGAAAATTCTCCCGTTCAATTATTAAGCCACATTATCATCATTCCTAAAAGAGCTACATATGAGAGAGAAAGTTATCTCGCTCAATTGTTAGGCATCTTATCTTCTTATTTTCATCTTCATATACCTAAAAGCATTACATATCAGAGAAAAAATTATTCTGGTCAATTGTGAGCCCACTTAACTTATACGGAATACTTAAAAGAACTACATATGAGAGAGAAAGTTATCTCGAGCAATTGTTAGTAAACTTATCTTCTATATATATATATGTATACATATATATATATATACATATATATATATATACATATATATATATATAATACATAAAAGCACTACATCTGAGAGTGAAAGTTCTCCTGCTCAAATTCTATGCTTTTTGTTAGCAAGTTTGTCTTATACTTAAAAGAACTACATGTATGAGAGAGAAAACATTCCACTCAATTATTAGCAAGCTTATCTTCTTATATCTAAAAGCACTACATATTAATGAAAATTCTCCCTCTCATTATTTGTTAGCCGGCTTATTTTATACTTAAAGCACTACATATAGGAGAGATAATTCTCCAGCTCGATTGTTAGCCGGATTATCATACTTAAAAGAACTACATATGTACGTGAGACAAAGTTATCCCACTCAATTATATTATTGTTGTTTGATTTAGTGAAACTTATTTAGTTTTTCTATAGAGCGATTTTTGAATTTCAAGTCTTAAGCATGGAATGATTTTGGTTATTTATTCAAAATCTTTGGTAGGCAAGACATTTTGAGAGTGACATAGGAATATAGCATGAAATGATTTTAGTTAATTACTCAAAATCTATTTAATTAAGTATCAAATGCTTTAAGAATATTTATACGTGCTTAATCTACTAATGCCCTCATTATTTGTGATTATGTAAAACTTTAGCACTAAAAACATAAATTAAAATTAATCCGATCCCAAAGTTTACTTGTAAAATTCATTCCTTTTTTTTTTGTTAAAAAACGGAATACAACATTTGGTTTTCTTAGGCACTATGTTGATTTGGTCGATGTAAAAACTTAATGGTCAATATGAAATTAATTTGCATGTAACGATAATGTCTAATTTGATATTTCTTCCTATAGATTAATTTAGAGGTCATTTGGTAATTTTCCCACCATCATATATAATACTCTCTCTCATATTCTACATATGAGAGAGGGTAATTCTCATGCTCAATTGTTAGCAAACTTATCATATTATCTTCTTATATCTAAAAATAATACATATGAGAGAGAAAATTCTCTGCTCAATTATTAGTCGACTTACCTTATACCTTAAAACACTATATATGAGAGAAATAATTCTACCGCTTAATTGTTAGTCAGTTTATCTGATACTTTTAAGAAATATAAATAAATGAAAGAAAGTTCTCCTGCTCAATTGTTAGCAAGTTTATTTTGTACGTAGTAATACCTAAGAACATTACATAAAGTACTACATATGAAAGAGGAATTTTTTATAGATCAATTATTAGCGAGTTTATCTTCTTCTACTCAAAAGCACTTCATATGAGAGAGAGAAAATTATCACTCAATTATTAGCAAGCTTGCCCTCTAATATCTAAATTAAAATACTACATTTGAGAGAAAGATTTTCCACTCAAGTATTAGTCAACTTATCATCTTGGTTATACAAAAAAGCACTACATATGAGAGAGAAAGTTATTTCATTGAATGGTTTAAGTTTGTATTGTTTGCATATATAGAATTGAAAGTAAAACATTATAAAATCTCAATGTTTTTAAAAGTTTAATATATTCGATATTGGTGTCATTTAAAAGAGACCAACAAATTATGAATTTTGATATATTTTTATAGAAAATGAAGCAACAATGAAAAAGTTAAACCACATTGAAATAAAGTTTTTTTATTAGGACCCCACTAATAAAGATGTCACGTTAGAAAACAATAAGTTAGAAAGAGAGGGCAACGCTTTGAGCAAGCAAAAAGCAACGGCTTTTAAAATAAAAGTGCCACGTGGCAATATAATACGATAGGAGGAAATTTCGGATTGTGTAACACGTAAAGTTTCATTAAGGCTAAAATAGTCATTATATGAGCTATCTCTTTTCTTAGATATAAATAGATAGAAGACTACGTCAATTATTTGGAGCACATTCTACTCCGATTCATGAGTTGGGGGACTGTACATTGGAAATCAAGGGAGAGGTAATTTTTTTCAAACCCAACTATTATAATTGAAGTAAGGGTCAGATTGGTACTCGAAGTTGCAAAAAAAAGTCAATTAAGTCCTTATATAAGAGGCTATGTCCAACCATCACCATTTGAGGTGGTTCCCGATGAAATTTTTTGACGAAATTTTTTGAGCATTTTATTCATTAAGTCTAATTTACTCATACCAAATTTCAGCTAAAACTTCAATCGGGAAGGCATTCAAATGAATTCTTGAAGACAACTGTGTTTTTAACTGCGCAGTTATCTTCAAAAATTCATTTGAATGCCTTCCCGGTTGAATGTTTAGCTGAAATTCGGTATGAGTAAACTAGACTTAATGAATAAGATGCTCAAAAAATTTTATCAAAAAATTCCAACGGGAACCATCCCAAATGGCGACGTCCGGACAGTAATGACTTATTTGACCCTTTTTATGCAACTTCGAGTACCAATCTGACCCTTACCTCTATTATAATTAGAGCACATGTACCTATTTTTTCCAAATAGGTACATTTGGATCTGATTATTAAAATTGTTTCGGCTACTTCAAACCTTCAAGGAGCAAAAGCAGAAGTTGGAGCGTTTGGTCAAAGTGCAGAAGTACTTTTTGTGATCTAATTTATTCCTAGAAACAATTTTTTTACAAGATTGGTGAAACAACTCCAAACACCCCCTAAATCATTATGATTTGGTCTAGACCTATGTAGCACCGATACGGGTACACGGAAACGCGGAAATGGGTACGGGGATACGACAAAACAAAACAAAAAGTAGGATATGGATACGATGCCATATTTATAAATAGAGAAAAGGTGCAAATAGGGCCTATGTACTAACCAAAAAAGATCAAATAAGCCCTTGTTTAGGAGGCTCTGTCCGGCCGTCGCCATTTGGGGTGGTTCCCGGTGGAATTTTTTGATGAAATTTTTTTAGAATCTTATTCATTAAGTCTAGTTTACTCATACCAAATTTCAGCTAAAACTTCAATCGGGAAGGCATTCAAATGAATTCTTGAAAATAACTGCACAGTTAGAAGCGCAGTTATCTTCAAGAATTCATTTGAATGCCTTCCCGATTGAAGTTTTATCTGAAATTTGGTATGAGTAAACTAGACTTGATAAATAAGATGCTCAAAAAAATTCATCAAAAAATTCCACCGGGAACCACCCGAAATGACGACGGTCGGACAGAGCCTCCTAAACAAGGGCTTATTTGACTTTTTTTTGTTAGTACACGGGCCTATTTGCACCTTTTCCCTTATAAATATTAAAAGTTATATGTGTGTATTTATAAATATTAAAACTTACAGGAATGTATTTATAAATATTAAAATTAATTCTTTTTGAAAGAAATTACTATCCTCTGACGTCTACTCATTTATGCCATTGAAGCATTTTACATTTTCAAGATACTTAGAAATAAGTTCATATTTTATCTCATATACACTAGTGCACCTCGAAATATAAATATAATCAATAAGTCATTAATTTCAAAGGAAAAATAAATCAAATAACTACAATTTTGAAATTAAAAGTGCAAGTACTCAAAGTTCTAGAAATAATGAAGATAGAAAACAATATTTTAGAAGTTCTAATACATATTTCCGTTGGAGCTATTATTTCCAGAGATAATTAGAATTAGGGATAGGAGGATGAGTGAAATAGGAATAGGCTCATTAGTTGTGTACCACATAAAAGCAAGGTAAAAATTATTTTTAGCTTTTCAATTTTTAAGAATTTTATTATGTAAATTTTGAGTGTTTTTTTAAATAATTTTTTTTTTGGAATATTTTTTATTAAAGTTGATACGGGTATCCGTCAGGATACGAGTATCTGAAATTTTAAAATGATTACCCTAAAAAATGGAAACTTTTAAAAATTACAGATACGACCCGGGAATGTAAGGTACAAGTATCCTAGAGTATCAGATACGAGAACATTTCCGATACGTCGATACGGCACCCTAGTGAAGTATCTGTGCTTCATAGGTCTAGACTATTCACTTGAGTCACTCAGTAGGAGTGTCACTAATATTATAAAAAAAGAATGAAAAATTATTATGTAGTACTAGCTCCATCCCACTAAGATTGAGACAATAGAATGTGGCACGATTATTAGAAAATGTGAGTTTGTGTGATTGATATTAAATTGATAAAGTAAGAATAAAGCAAGAATGGTTTTGAGCCACACAATCTTTACCAAATTTGGTATGGTACAATCTTAGTGGGAATTCCCGAAAAGGTAAAATGAGAGAATCTTAGCGGGACGGAGGGAGTACTACTTTCGTTCATATATAAGTGCAACATATTGAATTTTACACTACTCATACGTTCTGCTTTGAATACATTTTATTAATGTCGTAATATACTTTTTGAAAAAAAATTATTAAATTTATGTCATTGTAAATTTTCAAAATCTGTTTTTTTTTTTAAATTTTCATACTAATAGATAATCATATATATTAGTGATGAATGTTGTGCATCAACAAAGGTGAAAAGTTGATTGTTACACTTATTTAAGAACGAGGAAGTACTTATTTATAGTTAGACAAAAAAATCACTATTTTATACTCTCTCTGTATCTTTTTACTTGTCCCACTTTTTCTTGTGGGACATATCAAATAATTTGTCGCATTTCTCTTTTTGGAAATAAACTCATTCAAAAAACAGCTACAGCACTGCTATAGTATCATTACAGTACCAAAACCTTTTACTTTTCATAAAATCTACAACAATTGTCTTAAACTTCGTAAAAAGCAAATGGGCCAAGTAATTAGACACTGAGGGAGTATTTTGACAAAAATATCACCATTTTACAAATAAAACATCTTGAAATGCAATCCATCCAACCCTCTCATTTCATCGAAGTAAATGTCTCCTTCAACCCGACCCGCATACATCACCGCCGCTGACCTCACCATCATCGCCGACCTCATCTTCATCCACCATAGTTGTGCTTTTTCGTTCGTTGTCGCCCTCCCTTACAATGCACTGGTTTTCTTTTTATTCCCCTTTCTGTCTAGTGCTAGCTTTTCAGATCTAAACAGTGGCCCAAAATCACGGTTTGACCCGTGAGGGCGAGGCAGGTGATGGGAAAGAGTGGAAGGCAGAGAGGCAGGGGTGGCGGCGATCACGGTTGGGGCTTGAGCAGTAACGATGATCGAAAGTTAAGGTTGTGGGCGAGGGAGGGGCAGTAGCGACGGTTGGGTAGGTCGATCGCTAGGGAGGGTGCAAGGGACAGAGCGTCGGCGTCGGCCAACGGCTTGGGGCTAGTGTTGGTGGCCGACAGTGGTGGTGTCCCTGTGGCGGGGTCACTATGGACAGTCGGAGTCATGGTGTAACTGTGACAGGAGTCACCATGGTTGGTGTCACTTGTCATTGTGGTTGCAGTCACTATGGCCGGTGTCAGTGCGACCAGTGTCATTATGGTCAGTGTCATTGTGTAGTCACATTATTGAATATAAAAAAATGTCACTTTTTTGTTCATTGTTCACTTTTTAGTAATATTGAGATTAAAAAAAACCATATTATAATTGAAATGTTTTGAGATAATTCCCTAATTATTCGTAAAATACGTTTTTTAATATAAAAGAAATAGTGACTTTTTTATATCATTTTTTTAAAAAACAAACAAGATAATATCCAGACTGTTATCATAGATCCGATTGTCGGTCCTAGGAATAAACATAGAATCAGTCATCTTACAAAAAACAACTTGATTCGCTAACACACGAAACACGCAATTTTAAGCCTAAACAATTGGGACTGAACACTATCTATCAAACATACTCCAAAAATCCAAATATCCACTTGGCAGGTCACTTGATCATGTGGCTTTTTCTAATAGGTCTTACTAATTTGTTTTTCCTTTTATCTTTTATCTTTTTTTCTTTTCTCTTTTCTTTTATTTTTATTTTCTCCTCCCCATCTTGTTTGTCGCTCTGTGCTACATAGCTGTGTTTTCTTCTCTTCTCTCCCCGATAGCGTCCATCCCCTTTCCCCATTGCAGCTGCGAACAATTCTGGCTTCGGGTAATGGATAGGATGCTCCATTATTGAAATTTCAGTTGCTAGCCAGTAAAATTGGACACTCGGACTGAAGAGGTTCTTCTTTTGCAGAAACGGGAAGACTGACGGGTCAAGAAAATCCATTTGGGAAGAAAGAAGAACGGCCAACAAAGTTACTCAGTTCAAATCATTATCTTCATTATAAAATATCAATGATTAGTCCATGCAAATAGTCATTTGTCTGACTGTCTCCTTTGATCCATTCTTCCTCTTTCTTCTTTCGAGTTTCATCATAACTTTTAATAGAAGCTTCCATCCTCGAATTTGAACTGACGGAGGGAAACTGTGGCTCCTTCTTCATGCATTTTCCACATCTTATTTTTCTTTCTCTTTTTCTTCTTCTTCCTTCTTTTCTGATAAACAAATCCAATCCACAATTTGAAGATAGCATAAAGCCATAAAGTGATAGAGGCGGGAGGTTTTCAAGCATGCGGAAAAGTGTTAACATTGGGATCGACGGGGTTTACCGGCCAAACAAGTTTCAGGTTACCTATGGCCATTTTGAGAAGAGTACCCTTGATGTCACGGGCGGAGCCAGGACACTGGGTCGGACTGGGCCGGTACAAAGAATATTTTTGAAAAAAAAATTACTCGTAATTTTTTACACTAAAAATTTAAACATTTTTAAAATTTGGGCTGGGCCATGGCCAGGGATGGTCACCCCCTGTCTACGCTCCTGCTTGAAGTCATACTACCTCCGTCCCTCAAAACTTTGTCAAAGTTGACCGGCACGGAGAATAATAAAGTAAAAACTGTGTAGTTGAGGTTTGTGCAGAGAAGAGAGAAATAACAGAAACCACAAAATAATTGATTAAAAGGGAAAGTGGCAAAGTTTTTTGGGACATTCCAAAAAGGAAAGGTGACAAAGTTTTAAGGAACGAAGTGAGTATTATTTTGGAATTTATCTGGCCACTCCCTCTGCACAGACCGTTGTGAACTTCTTGCGGTCTCCGACTGAAAAGCTAAAGGAGTCCAGAGTTCATGTCGGCACCTCGGCCACATATCCCCCAATAATCTTTATTTGATGGCGTGGAGCTCATACGGGCCCCTTAGCCATATATCTGCTAGTCATCTTTATTTGATGTCCAAGACATCACGTTATGGATGGTCGCTCGACTTATACCCTTATCATCTTTATTTAATGACTAGGAATACTTATCAATGCTGTGCTAAGTGCATACGAAGATTGGTCTGGGCCATCCCCCCCAACAGATGGCGACCGTTTCATCTCCACGCCTAAGCTGAAGGGCTCACCCTTTTGCTTCATTTTTGGGGCATCACATGTACCTTTTTTCCCTCATTAGAATTTTTTTCCACATAGTTTTTTCTTGGTGAGACATATCTCATTATGGACAAAAGGTGTCGACCCTCGACCTCTATTGAAGACATCATGAGACATGCACTACTTTACTAGTTTACTCCTCTTCACCTCACTACACTCACATCAAAGAGTGGGTGACGGGAAGAGCGGGGGACTCAGCGCCTCCGTTAATCGAAGAAGCATAAAGTCAATATATTCATAAGGTTTGCCTCATGCATCGACGACACCATCACATCACTTGTTTGCCTCATGCATCGACGACACCATCACATCATATGCAAACCCAGTTACCACAGCAACAAACAAGTACATATGCATAGCCCCTCGGCCCCAGGACCGTGGTGATGGTCTCTAGCCTTCGACTGAGGATTCTCCCACATGGTTGCTTCAGTCAGGGCATGCCAATAAGATCGGATCAGCGGCTTGGGAATCCGGCCTCGGCACCTCGACAACGATAACGACATACTCCACCAAATCAAGACATATCAACACATATCTCTACTCTTTTTCGCCTCGAGTACTCTCGACTCAGGGAGTGAGAGACTCCTGATAGAGTATATATACTTGGACCCCCGGTCTTACGACTATTGGGTCTGGACAACGGCCCATACATGTTTTACAGATATCATTTATATTATTGTACAGTTCACATACCATTTGTATATACTAGATTAGCCTTTTGTGCAGTTGGGCCTATCGAGTCCATATAAGAGGCCCAACCCGTTAATTCTCTATAAATACTCCCTATGGGAGATCTTGAAAACCTAATCAATATTATACACATTTATCTTCTTCTCCACTCCTAGAGCTCAACTCTCCATTAATTACATGTTTGGATACCCTATAATCCATCAGACATAACATGGTTTAGTGTTTAGGCGTAAATTAAATTACTAAGAGGATACTTTAGACCATCTCTCCTATTTTAGTCACTTATTTGTCCAATGGAAAAACAATCTTATTTTGGTCAATTAAAAGGTCACTAGTACTACTTTTGTCACTTTTCTAATAATTTTCTATTAATGTATATAAATAATACTTGCGCTCTGTATATAAAATACAAAATACATAATTTGATTATATAAAAAGTACTCCTTATTAGTAATCTTCTATACAAAATATAAAGTACGGAGTATATATTAACCATGAATTTAGAGTTCCTAAAAGATATTAACAAATCTAAATAAATAACAATGATAAAAAACTCTAAATAAATAACAAGCAAGAATTATCTAGCATTTATATATTCACAAATCAATTATACAAAATTTATGAAAATACAACAAATAGGAAAATAAAGAAAAAAACTCACGAATATTAATCTTTAAAACGTGGTGGACAAGAATATTACTTAATACTCCATCTGTTCCATTTTGATTATCTTACTTTCATTTTTGAGTTGTCACAAAATGAATGTTATGTTTTTCTTTTCGGCAAGAAATATGTGATCCATACAGTTCCACTTTATTCTACTCCAATCTAAACCACAACTTTTACCTTTCAATCATTTTATTAGTAATCGTGCCAAACTAAAAGAAGACATCCATTACGGGACGAATGCAGTAAATATTAGTGATTATAGTTCTGTTCAAATTTACATTGTAGTAATTACATCTAAGTAACTACAATGTAAATTTTGAAGATAATTATATAACTAATAGTTACTCCCTCTTTTCCTCAAAATTTTAACATCTTTCCTTTTTGGGACGTCCCAAAATTTTACCACTTTCCCCTTTAATCAATATCGTGGTTTCTGTTATTTTTCTCTCCTCTTCAAAAACCTCAACCACACAATTTTTACTTTGTTATTCTCCGTGCCAATCAACTTTGTCAAAGTTTTAAGAGACGGAGGTAGTACTAAATAATATTTTGTCCATAATTGTTTTATTAGTACTCTCTCCGCCCGCTAAGATTGTCCCATTTTACATTTCCGATTGATCCCATTAAAATTGTCCTATATCAAAATTGGTAAAGTTTATATTGTTATAAATCATTCTTATTCTTATCAAGAGGGAGCGACTAATATTTAATGAAAAATCTGAAGAAAGAAATTAAGAAGCAGAGCCCAAGAAGCTGTTCTCTTCACCTGATCTGAATGTTTCTGATCTGAATTATTTAAGTTTTGATCTGATCTGAATCTTTCTGATCTGAATCTTTCTGTTCTGGTCTGAATGTTTCTGATCTGATCTGAATCTTTCAGATCTGATCTGATTTGAATATTTCTATAATTGTAATTATAATTATAATTATTATAATTATATTTGTAATTACAAATATAACTTAAATAAAATTATAATTATAATCATAATTATGACATTTTCATTAAATTATAATTATAATCATAATTAAATAAATTATTATAACATTTTCATTCACGATCTGAGGGTTCTCTAGCACGTGAATGATCGCAGCGCCTCCACCCTTGGCGCCGGCGCCGCCTCCGATTAATATATGGTCCGGTAAGTCTTTTGCGGATGTAATTGCGCAAAAATCTAATGGCTCGCTCTCAGCAAAAACCCCCACCCAATACAAAGGTGTTCCAGCCGTTAGTTTTCCAGAAGGTGATGTTCAAATTCTATCGAAAAGACACAAGAAATCATTGATTGGTTACTTCTTTCGAGGCCGGCCAAATTTGGTTAATATTCCAAAAGCATTCGAGATTATTGATTTTAAAGGCACCTTTCAATTAGCTGTGCTAGAATGAAAACATATTCTGATTCGATTTGATTCTGAAGAAAACTATTTCCGATGTTGGAATAGACAAAACTGGACTATTCAAGGACATGTGATGCGTGTGACTAAGTGGACTCCGGATTTTCAACCTAATGTTGAATCCCCGGTGGTTCCAATTTGGGTAAGTCTGGAGGGTTTGCCCCTACATCTCCAGGATAAAAGGGCACTGTTTGACATTGTTGGTCTAAAGATTGATGCGGCCACTGCTAACCTTTCTAGGCCAACTCTGGTTAGGGTATGTGTTGAAATTGATCTGACGAAGGAGATGCCCAATAGAGTTTGGATAAACTCTGGATCATACGGTTACATGCAACCAGTGATATATGAACACAAACCGGAGTATTGCTCTTACTGTCTACACTTGGGACATTCTTGTTGGGTTTCGGGCAGAAAAACGCAGCGGAATAAACGAAAATCTTACTACCCAAAAGTAAACAACCGGATCTGAGGTTCTTACTATAAACGAAATTTTAAGAGAGACTTACATAGCAATCTTAATTAAGGATGTCAGACAGTCCGAGAAAACGATCCCGAGCTCTACCGGTATCCACACGCACGTGACTGGATCGGCCGCAGGGAACGTGCTAGCGTTCTCTTCTTTCTTCCTCTCTACTCTAGGTTTAAGAAGTGAATTTTAACTCTTAAAATTCGTGGGTCTATATGGCCCTATTTATAAGAGGAGGAAAGAAGGGATTTTATGGCTAATAAAACCCTTAAAGAGGCCCTAGCCCAATACCATTCGAAACCCTCTTTCGAATTGGGCTAATCAAGCTATTTTAATGTTATTAACAAACATTAATGATCCAAATCACTTAGGTGTGTGACCCTGTAGGTTTATATATTATTGGCAGTGGGCTAGAAATTAATTCGAGCCTCACAAATCATAAGCGGTCTCTAGCAAGACATTATGATTATCCAAAATATATAAATGTCAATTAAATCTGACATAACCTTTTAATGATTAATTTGTGCTAATAATTCTCTTTTGTCAAATGATACCTTAATTGAGACAAGGTTAGGTCATGTCATCCTTGTTATTCTCAATTAATATTTCTTGATTACCATGTAAGATTAATCTTGATCAAATGACACCTCATTTGTGCATGGCCATGCTAATTAATCTTACTTGTCAAGGGGCCCAATAGATATCTTTCTCTCGATATACAAGAGTGACAAAAACTATCTTGATAATTCACATACTACTACATGGTTCATAATATGTACAATCACCACCTTTATAGTTACCCAATTAAAGATAACATTTAATGGTGTTAATACATATTAATTCTCATGCAAGTAACCATGATTATCTCAAGTATAAGAATATAGCACCTCATCATTATTGAGGACAACGCTGATGACATATAACCTAGCAGTGTCCTCAAGTTGGGTCTATCCAATGAACTTGTTCC